GCTGGGATTACAGGCACGCGCCACCATGCCCAGCTAATTTTTTGTAGTTTTAGTAGAGACGGGGTTTCACCATGTTGACCAGGATGGTCTTGATCTCTTGACCTCGTGATCCGCCCGCCTCGGCCTCCCAAAGTGCTGGGATTACAGGCGTGAGCCACCACGCCCGGCCTTACTTTACTTTATTTTTGAGACAAGGTCTTGCCCTGTCTCCCAGGCTGGAGTGCAGTGGCAGGATCACTGCAGCCTTAACCTCCTGGGCTCACGCAGTATCCCCAGCTCAGACTCCCCAGTAGCGGAGACTGCGGGTGGGCACCACCACGCCTGGCTAATTTTTGTATTTTCTGTAGAGATGGGATCTCATCATTTGCCCAGACTGGCGTTGAACTCGTGGGCTCAGGCAATTCTCCAGCCTCAGCCTCCCAGAGTGTGGGGATTACAGGAATGAGCCAACACACCCAGCCTCAAAATTTTTGAATAATAATTTAGGAGGGCAGGGAATCCCAAGAAAGAATGTAGAATGTGCCGGGCGTGGAGGCTCACACCTGTAATCCCAGCACTTTGGGAGGCCGAGGTGGGCGGATCATGAGGTCAAGAGATCGAAACCATCCTGGCCAACAGGGTGAAACCCCGTCTCTCTACTAAAACACAAAAATTAGCCGGACATGGTGGCGCGCACCTGTAGGCCCAGCTACTCGGGAGGCTGAGGCAGGAGAATTGCTTGAACCAGGGAGGCGGAGGTTGCGGTGAGCCGAGATCACACCACTGCACTCCAGCTGGTGCCTGGTGACAGAGAGAGACTGAGAAAGAAAGAGAGTGAGAGAAAGGGAAAGGAAAGAGAAAGAAGAGAGAGAGAAAAAGAGAAAGAAAAAGAGAAAGAAAGAAAAAGAAAAGAAAGAAAGAGAAAGGAGGGAGGGAGGGAGGATGTGACAGAAGAACGTGACGCTGTGAACGGATGAATCACCTCGCTGAGGGCGGGAAGGTGCTTGCCTACCTAATTCCGGAAGTGAGTGGAGCCTGTGAGACTCGGGGCTGCACACCTGCAGTGTGCTCTGGTTGATGAAGTTGCTTCCCACAGGGCTACGGGTTGAAGATTCTGATGTCACCGGGAGTGACAGCTAAAGCAGTAGGTGGCGGATGGCGGGGCCCCATCCCTCGCTCTCAGAGGGGAGTTTGCAGACAAGGAGGGGAGGCAGCTGACCATCCCGGGGGTGATGGGCAGGGACTGGAGGCATCTGTGAGGGTTCCTGTTTAACTTAACACAGACACAGGTGAATACAAACAAAAATATGTGCAGGTGGGTGCACACACACGTTAGTACACACATACATTAGTACACACATGTTAGTGCACACACAGCGCACACACATTAGCGCACACACACGTTAGTACACACACATGTATTTGTTTTATCTGCAAGAGACCATGAAGGGAAATCACACCCCAGCAGCCGTGAACACACGTGGCACCCAGATCTTCCCTTCCTAGTGCCATTGTGTCCTAAGGGACCAGAGCCCCACAGGGAAGTGGCTGATTCCAGGACTGGGGCAGGAAAAATGCAAGATGGGTCTGGAGGATCCTGCAGTGCCAGAAAGTAAGGAGGTGCTCAGAAAAACAACGATGGACCACACACACTCACACACACATACACACACACGCCATACACACCACAAACATAAACACACACACATACCATGGACACACCGCAAACTCACATACACACTTGTACCATGCACACACACCACACACACACATACACTCATACATAAGTACCATGCACACATATGCACACACCACACACACATACACACACACCGCACATATACCCCTATACACCACACATACATACATCACACACACCACACACATACACACACACCACACATATGCATACATATACCCCACACACCACACACATATACACACACATGCACACCACACACACATATAGACACATATGCCACACACATACATACATCACACACATATACACACACATGTACCATGGACACACCACAAACTCACATACACACATGGACCATGCACACACACCACGTACATACACACATTCACCATGCACAGACACATACACACCACATACATACACACATACACTCATACATAAGTACCATGCACACACATATACACACACCATACACACACACCACGCACATATACACACATACACACCACACACACATATAGACACACACATAGACACACGCACCACACACACCACATACACACATGCACCATGCACACACACCACATACATACACATTAACCATGCACCATGCAGACATATACACACCACATACATACACACATACACTCATACATAAGTACCATGCACACACATATACACACACCATACACACACACCACGCACATATACACACATACACACCACACACACATATAGACACACACATAGACACACGCACCACACACACCACATACACACATGCACCATGCACACACACCACATACATACACATTAACCATGCACCATGCAGACATATACACACCACATACATACACACATACACTCATACATAAGTACCATGCACACACATATACACACACCATACACACACACCACGCACATATACACACATACACACCACACACACATATAGACACACACATAGACACACGCACCACACACACCACATACACACATGCACCATGCACACACACCACATACATACACATTAACCATGCACCATGCAGACATATACACACCACATACATACACACATACACTCATACATAAGCACCATGCACACACATATACACACACCACGCACACACACACACCACACATACACACCACACACATATGCACACATATGCACACATATACACCACACACATCACACACATACATCACGCACACCACACATACACACCACACATATGCACACATATACCGCACACACACCACACACATACCCCACACACACCACACACATATAGACACACACCACACATACATACATCACACACACCACACAACACACATAGGCACACATGTATGTGTGTGGTGTATGTATGGCTGTGTTGGGTTTGTGGTGTGTGAGTATGTGTGTGGTGTGTATGCATGCATGTCTATGTGTGTGGGGTTGTGGTGTGTGTGTATGGATGCAGGTGTGTATGTGTTTGTATATGTATGCTGTGTATGTGATGTCTGTATGTATATATATACACACACTGCACATATATACACACATACACCACACACAGCACACACATATACACACATACACACACACCACATATATGCACATATACACCCTACACACCACACACATATACACACACCACACATATGCACACATATACCCCACACACACTGCACATACACACAGACCACACACACATAGACACATACACACTACACACCCAACACACTGCCACAAATATACCACACACACATGCATCACACACACACAGACACACATACACCACACACTGACACACACACCACATACATACACACATCACATACACACCATACATATATAAACACACATCTGCATCCATACGCACATACCAGAACCCCATACACGTAGACATGCATGCATACACACCACACACATACTCACACACCACACACCCAATGCAGCCATACATACACCACACACATACATACTCACACCGTGGAGCCACACCACACATATGCACACACCAGACACATATACACACCACACGCACACCATACACACCACACATGTACGTGCACACCACATGCACATACACATACTTCCTCACACCACACACGTGCCACACACGCCGTACATACCCATACATATACACAAATATGCACCACACATACACTATACACACACTACATATACACATACACACATACAACACAAGCACCATGCACACATATACACACATGCACACACACCATTGTACACCCATACACACATAAGCGTGTACACACATACACACACCAAACATAAACATACACATCCACACAGTACACACATCCACACACTCCCCTACACACACCACACACACATACACACACAGCATACACACATCACATACACATCCACACGCACATACACACATAAACTAAACACATATGCACACACCACATACAAATACATGCACCTGCACACATGTGTACACATGCACACAAATACACATCCACATGGACACACACACCAAACACAGATACACCAACCGCCACACATACACACCACACACACGTGTGCACGATGTAAATATGCCCGTGGACCCAGGGTCCAACTGAGTGAACTCCTGGTGTGTGAGCGACAGGACTAATGAATTCTGCGTCCTAACCAAGCGTGCCGTAAATAGCTACGCGTCCACAGCGATGCAAATAAGTGACAACATACATTCGTAAATGGGGGAGAGGAATTTAAATCAATGGCATAGACACCGCCCCTCAGCAGAGGCAGAGTCCCTCCCGGGCCCTCCCTGTCCTTCCAGAGCGCCGTGTGGACGGGGCTGGGGGCCGGCGGACCCACCCGGGC